TTTTTTCCCATTATTAGTGCATTTCGATAGGTCTCAAATTGGTAGCTTATTTTGCAATTATACAGAACTTCTTTAAAATGAGTAGGAGAGGGTGTGCTTAATGGAACATATGCTGAAATTTTACCCTTGGTGTGCTAATGAGACACTTAACTCATAGCCCTGTTCTCCTGGCTTTGCTCCTAAACAAACGGTAAGTTCTTGGCAGTCGCCCAACTGCTCTTCTAATTAATTCACAATCAGGATCCCTTTTATTCCCTTGTCCAGCTCATCACTTTTCACTTTCTTCTAATGCACTTGAGATGAAAAGCCAGCAAATGGCAGCACATTCTCAAACAACTTTAGAGGGGAATCTCATGTCCCTGTATAAGGACCATGGTGATTGTTGTTTAACTGGAATGCCATGTTTCTTCTAGGCAAAGAACAGGCTATGAAGATGCTATAAAGTTATAGTCTCTTGAGAGTGTATTCTACACTGGAATATTTGCAGATGTTTGCATGCTTTGAATATTTGCATACTTCAACTAGGTCAGAATTTCAGTTCAGTTTTGATAAGAATATACCAAACATTCTTGGTACCAGGGAAGAAATTTAGAAGAAACTGAAACTGACAACCTCATCTGTGTACCTACCCATATGCAGCTATGTGTTCCTTCAGATCTAACTCAGAGGTCCTTCTCTGGGAGCTACCTTTAAAGGATGTGAAGAGGGTGGCTACCTGGGATGAACCTTTTTGGCAGTGGCACCTCATTTAGGGAAATTGCTCCCAAAAGAAATACACCTCGTATGGATGCTGTTCATGTTCCGCCACCAGACAAAAACTTTTCTATTTGCTCAGTATTTTGTGTTTAAACATCATTCTATTAATCTCTACAGCCAGGACTTTGCTGTACCTTTCCATTTTAGACCTTGTTTTTATATGCTTTTATTGGGATCTTAAATTTTAATTTGTCTAATTTTGTCATAAATAGCTTTGTTTAGCTTTCCTTATTGTTTAATTGGAATGTTTTATCATCACTTTGTTTTAATACATTACTATGTTTGGATTTTATTGAATGTAAATGGTTCAGAGAGACAACATGGCTGAGTGAATGGCATACAAACATCTAAACAAACTAACAAATAAAGGACTTAGTGTGATTATTTCTTAACATTCCAGATTTGAATATATGTGTATTCAACTATATCTGTGGGGCCAAATCAGGGTTGCCACTTCCTTTTTTCTGATACACTTCTAAACTTTATGGCAGGCAGGCATATCATGACTTACTCCATGCTGGGAAAAGCTGTTGCTGTTGAATTTGACCATTGAACGTGTGGTAATATAGTTTCACTTTTTATTTTATCTCTTCATATTGGGAAATGAAAGTACCTGAAGTTTTAATAATTCATATTAAAATTCATGTGGAAACAAACAAACAAGCAAAGAACAAAATATTCCTAGTTTCAATTTAACTCCACAATAATCATACGCTACTAAAGAAAAACCAATAGTTGGGAAATTAGATACTCTAAGACCTCCACCTTAACTTTCTGAATAAGCTCTAATCTTACATCACTAAGATTCCACCTGTTCAGGAACCAAACTCACAAAAAAGGTTTGAACTCTAGCTACTACTGAAATTTACCAGAGACCTCAGTCTGATCTGCTGTCTGTGCAATTCTGCTTTCAATATTTAAATATTAGATGCATTTTTCAGAAAGATCGTAGGTTACATCTTGGAGAAGAAATTAAATTAAAACATATATTTATAGTGGGAATGATGAACTGAGGGTTTTAAAAATGTAGAATTTAGGACAAGATAAAGTGGAAGGAGGATAAAGGGAGAAAAGGCCTAAATAAGCTGAAAGCTGCTAGGAAGTAGAATTCTCTTCTCGCTGGCACATTCAGATCAAGTACTAACTTCTGTGAAGGATCAGCCCTCAAACCTGTTCCTGGTGCCAAGGATCCTAATGAAAATTTGGAAGTGTCTGTATCTATGCCTGAATGCTCTGTGTGTGTATACAGATCTCGCCTGCTTTAAGAAGACTAATGTCCCATCCCTTTAGCAGCATTTCTACACACTAGTTCTAGCCTGCTAGGATAACAGAACTGTTCTACTGGGATCAGTCAGCAATATAAAAACTTTGAGATCACTTCAGGAATTCAAAATCAAAGTGTGATGGGAGGGAATAAGATCAAGAAGACTAGCCCATTCCCCAACATCTTCTTCCCCACTGGGGGAACGTCACACCTTCAGACATTCATTCTCAAAGTCTGAACTAGACTTGCAACTGCATTCAGCTGAACAAACTTAGATACTTCCTCAGAACTGGGAAAACTGCACTTAAATGTACCTTTCAGGCTCGGTGCATGGGGCTTTAACATCCGGCAGAACTGCCATCTCCAGGGCAGTGGGAATGCAGAGTGCTTTTCTTTAAATACTAGTGAGCACATCTATTTATTCTACCAGTTGGATTTCAGTTTGCTTTTCTTTTAAACTCTTTGGCAAAGACTTTCTTAAACTATTCAACCACTCTTCTCAAATATTTTCACTGTAACTATATTATCTGCTCATCCATAATCCTTCCATTCTGTTTCCCCTGTTGCCTCCCCCTCTTGCTCCACATTCGACTTTAAGGTGTCAGAAGATTTTGCTCGTATTCTAGCCTTGAAGAACGCCATGTGCACTGACTGTTGCAAATACATGATAGTGGATAAAGACAAAGGATCCATGGGACTGACGTGACTCTAAAAAACTACTCCTGGTCTTGGCATGGAGAGAATCTACATGCACCAAAGCTGAGCATCACATTGGCTGAGGAGCATGGCTCATACGCATGGGGAGTGCATCCATGTGATAAGCGTGCTTAATAAACAAAGGAGACATGGTAGCTACTCCTGAGCATGCTGGTCACATGTGGGCAGGCTTTCCTATCAGCATGGGTCATTGTGTCATTCCAGTCCAGTGAGTGTAGATGGCTGGTGTGCAGTCCTCTTAGCAGTGGATAGATTCACATGGAATGCTAAGCCATTCTGCAAAAAAAGCTGCACAGTGCAGGGTGTCGGTGAAACAACCCATGATATGCCTGACAGATACCAGGGCTTGCCATAGACTGTTCTTCCCTTCAGTTATCCAGCAGGCTGCAGCACATATCCCAGGGCACTTTGTGAAGAAATCCACCTTGTCACTTTGCCCCAGCAAGCCATCCTGCAGTAAATTTGCAGATGTGCTAATTTCTCCTCCATTTATTTCCCAGCCATTGAATTTGCACATGCTTCCCCCACCAAAAACTTAAAATAAAAATAAAAAATCCTGGAAATTAAAAAAAAAAATCCCTTACAAGATGGCAGGATAGGAGTGTACAGCAGAATTTCTTCTATTCCCACCATGGGGTCCCATTAACTCTACTCCATGCTGCAACCTCTGCACCTGACTATGTCTCTATCATCTATCTATCTATCTATCCATCCATCCATCTGAATTGTAAGAGGACCGCAGTAACTGTAGCAGCAAGGATTTCTGAGAAAGACATGTACTAAGCGGGGAGGAGGTTACTGCCTTCCCTTTCCAGACTGCTTGCAGACTCAGAGACACATTGCAAAGCTGGAGGACACTGACAACTGTCAAGTCCAGCCTTAAAAGCCAGGGGCTCATATCATGATGCTGTCCTCCTCACTTTGGCTACACTTTTTCCTACAACCTACCCCTCCACTCATTTTCAGCGCTTCTGGCTTGTGCTAAAAGGTCCACATTCTCCCTGACTCTTCCAACATCCAGACACAATGCATAAACCGGGTTTATAACTTCCAGGTAGCCTATTTTCCTGAGGCTTGAGGTCTACAGGGTCAAAGCAAGGCAAAAGGTCACACAGAGTGGCCATCAGGATCCTGGGAAGCTTTCCAAATATTCTTCTGGCTGAACCATTGCAAGGATTATGTTTCAACAGGGAGCCAAAGCCATGTGAAGTCTACAAAGGGGTTAGGGTTAGACATGGTCTATATTAGGCCACACCTACTTGAAAAATACAGCTTTCTTTAAAGAGTTTTTTGCCTGATTCAGGTTCCTTTGGTATCTGAGGCACAGGAGATGGAAGAGCTGATGGAAACTCAGCTTCTCAGTTAGAGGCTGGTGATACAGCCACATCCTCTGGTAAGGAATGTATGGGGGCGGGGAGGGAATCCTGCTGGCTTTTTCCCAGGGAAATTGGTGGAACATTGTCCACAGCTGAGTTTTATTTAGAGACCCTTAGATTGCAGAGTCAGGGGTCACAACACTGAGTAGATGATGGAAATATGTTCTTGTACATTTTGAAGATATTGTCTTATACATTGTTTACATTACCTGACCTATAGATTCTGGCAATAATTGTGAACATATAGGAGAAGAAGAAAAAATCCTTCGAACTTTATCTTTTCTAATGTTCTCCATTTCAATGCACTCCTAAATAATTTTTTAAAGTTTGTTAGGCTATTTACCTAGCATCCCAATTTCTATAATATGTATATATGAAAAAGTCAGTTCCTTTCTTGTTAGGAAAAAATAATTTCATATTTTGAATAAAACTATTGTAATAGTAACTTATATGAATTTAAAAATAGTCTTGTCTTAATTATATTTAAGGGCATTCATTGGCACGTATTACTTCATAATTAAATATTCATTCAGAGGTGACTTGCTCAACTGTAGCAGAAAAAAAAATCCCTTAAAAATGGCTATTCATATCCATATTATAATCCTGCAATGGTGGCATTCATGTTATGCATTTTTAAGTGGGTACCTAAAAAAACCCAAGGACTGAAGCAGAAATTATGTGGGAGCACCCCCACAAGAATTCAGAGGGAACTCAGCTGAAACTGGAATTGACTACAGCAGCCTTCCGAGCCTACAATCAGTAGTAGCCAGTGTGTAGCTGCGTTCAGTGATTTCGCAGCAGAGCTGTCTTCCTGGCAAGTTTACCACAGAGTAGTCACAAATTCAGTAAAAAGCTGAAATTTTTGACATAGCAAAGCCAACACTTACTGTATGAACACCCAAAGACGTCAACCCGCAAGCCGATTTTCCCACTTGGATTCCATGTCAGTGGAACGAAGCGCACAAAGCGAGCTTTAACAGAGTGCAGAAACTTGTGCTGTACAATGCTGTCAGCATTGGTATTCCCCTGGAAGACCTGCAGAGAAAAAGTAGCATGGATTAAGCTTAGGTCTCCTTAATTTATTTAGCTAATAAATTGCATATGACTCAGTTTTACTCAGTGGCAAAACACAGCTGACACTTGGGTTAGGTATGGCTATTGCCCATTGCTTTAATACTGGTGTTCATGTGTGAGCACTATTACATAAATTTGCTTTCTATTATTATTATGGTGTCAGAATCAGAAGGTCAGGTTATGGGCAGTATAGCTGGAATCACAGCTAGCGTAGGGACCTTTCGTGTTATCGAGTACAAGCCTCTGATTAATGCAGTATCTGCAAACTGTAGGTACAGCATCCTAAAAGATGGCCAAATACTGCCACTGCTAAAACACCTCCACTGTTCACCTCCTCCTGAGATGGTCTGTGCACTTGTTAGCCTCTCATATTGTTAAGAGATTTCATGTACTGTTTACTTGAAATCAGCTGCACTGCACTGCCTTTTTATCCCGTCTACAGACTGTCTACTTATCCTGTCTACTTTTTATCCTGTCTACTTTAAACTGGGGTCACACAGTGCACTCGATACTACAAAATGAAACCTCGTTCCATTTTTCTGCCCACACTTGTTACCAAATTTATTATCCTATTCAAAGGCAGGCAAATGACATTCAAATTTAGATTTAAATGTAAAAGTGGGCCAGTTTTTATTCCATATGTTATTTTACACACAAATCACTCTGCAATACAAGCAGGAAAATGCTGCAATTTTGTTAGTAAGGAAAATCTTCACTGGAACAATAGATTTGCAAAGCTAGCAAGAAATGGGCGTGGTAAGTCTTTGTCTTTGGAGTCAATTACCTTGCCCTACTTGAACTGTGATCAGGAAAAGGCGTCACATTGCAAAACAGCCAGAGAAGTTTGGTCTTGCATGTGGTTGGACTGATACTGAACTCTTCCGATAAGAAGAGGAGGAGACTTCATATCTCCATAGTTCAAAGCTGTGCAGTAGCTGGGGTTGTGACCATATCTGAGAATGTAAACAATCATATCTCTGTTTATGCATCTATTAACTATTTGGAACTAGATAAATACTATAGTTGTAAGGATGCAAGATATGGCAGCATTATAGCATAGCCAGTAAAAAGAATGCATTTAAGTGGAAGGCTTAGCAATACAGGTAAATTATTGGCACTCCTAATTTGACAAACTTTGATCACTGAGTTGTTCAAACTGATTAACAGTTATTGACAAAGTTGCTGCTTTTATAATATAGAACTTTGTCCTTAATGACCTAAGGGGTTTGTAATTTGTCCTTTCTTGATCTGGATTTAATCTATATACATTGAGAAGTTTGGAAAATGGAATAGAATTTATGATGGTTCTTTTTTTCCTGAAATAGTCTGAACATTCACATGCAGGAGACATTCAGATATGTAACACAAGGTTTAGGTCAATGATTAGTATCAGAGGGGTAATGGATGTTGAAATAGATAGGTATTAGATGACCTGGTAACAGGAGAACATTGCCCAAACATATTTTCACTTTTTTAAAAAGGAAATTTGATGGTTTGGCCATCAGGAGACATTATCTCATGTGGAGATGCAGCCCAGTTTTCTCTCGATGTAGCATTCTCAGCCAGACAGGTCAGATTTGGAACAGTGTGGATAAACAGGGCGGAAGAGGAGGGGGAATTGACATGTGACTCTGCCAGGTCAAGGTTAGCCAGGGTAGTGAGATTAACCAGGCAGTGACTGAGAACTAAACCATCTTGTACCAAGGGGATGGGGTTTGGGTTAGGGTTACAGATAGGGTTAGAAGAACAAGGTAGGGAGGAGAGCAAATTCCTACATCCAATGAGGTGCTGCCAGACCATATGATTGACCAAGTGCACAAGATCAAACATTCCCATCATTGAGTCCACAAATAGCAGGACCCACCTGAGGATGGAGTCCTGACTCTGGGAAAAAGCAGGCAGGATTGGCCATTCTAGGGCGAACTCAAGCCATCACAAGAACAGAAGCTGCTCCCATAGATTACAGGATCATTACTTTGATGTATGAAACTTTCTCACAGCTCTTATAGGCAATGCCATCTACTAGAGCCAGGCCTGCAATGCTCTAATAGAGGACTGCATTCTATAAGCTTTTCATGTTGATATGTTGGGGAGAAAAGGTAGGTGGGCGCGGGAGAAAAGTGCCTGTGACCTCTCAGTATTACATTATGGCAGCATACATAAAAACAATGATTAAAAACCATCTGAAAACATTTTGAAGAAATCTGATGGGGGGAAGCAGCATTCCTCAAGTTCACTGCCCTGGTTGGACTATAACGCCTATCATGTCCAGGCAGCACAGGAACGCTAAGATAAGAGAAGGTCAGGGATGGAGCTGTGTGTGGTCCAGGAATGGAGGATGAAAGGGTTTTGACTGGAACCAAAGGAAAAAAAGATGCTGAAGTTAATGTTTGTGAAATTTTGAGTGTTAGAAACAAACATTTCCACAAAACAGCTTATAATAAATAGTGTTTGGGACAACATCCTACTTTTTTCCCCATCTCTAACATGACACCAAAGATGAGATACATCTTGAAAAAAAGAACTCCCCTAAATTATCTTATAACTGTTACATGTGGAACTCAACTTGTTTTTCAATGTAGAAGATAATGTCCCAGATATGGATGTTACCTAAAAATGAAGATGGTAGGTAGGCAGAAAGTTGTATGTGTCTTTAAAGGTTTTATATAACCTATTCTTTTACCCTTTCACATAAACTCCCAGCCTCTTTGAAGAAACCCTTATATGAATATGATGAATATGATGAAAATACGGCACAACACAATAAAAAATCTGAAACTACACAAGCTTGATAAAGATGGTCTCGAGAAAGACAATCTTGCCACCAGAGACAACTTCAAAAACAGGTTGTGTAGAAGTAACCCAAATCTATGATGCTGTTAATTTGACTGCAGTTTTGCCTGCCAATATCGATTCAGTTTATCCAAAAAGGCTACACTAATATTATACAGCTAATGAACCTGCTGGGAACTAGGGAAGGAGGCAAACTAATGCTTTAAGCATTAACCTTTGGCAGAACACCTGTAGAAAAGGAGACCAGGGTTTGTAGCTATAGATACAAGGGGTGGGGGAGGCTAAAAGTTCCATTAGAAAGGACTGTCTGCTCATCAAGGTATAATAAATTAAATGGCAGCAACAGGCTCAGGCCGATGTTAAACCTTCTATCTTGCTTGATAGCACAAGCCCCAGGATGGCAAGCAGCAGCATATTTTCAGACTTGCACAAGCTGGCTACCATAATGACTATGGTGATTATCTTCTCTCCCACTTTATTAGGCAGGTAATGGGGTAGGTTTGAACTGTAAGTGGGAAGAAGCAATGTTGGCACAAAAACATGAATGGTGAGATGGCAGACTGGAGGTTAACTACTTTCCAAGGGAGTTACTTCAAGAGATAGGTAATGCTTTTTCTTCCGCAGAAACTGTAGAACGGATCTGAACTGAAGGCAAAATAAAGATTAGGGTTGCCCAGGTACTCACATCACAGGTGTTCTTAATTTGCATTGTTACATTCCTAAGGTAGGAAGTGCAAAAGCAAGGCCCTGCCCATTGCAGTCCACTGAACAAATAGGCCTCTTTACACCTGTGGATTAAGACTGAGATCTTCTGCCACTTTGCACACTTGAAAACATGCATTAATTTCAAGGCCATTTGGTGCATATGCAAAATTTCTGCATTTTTTAAAACTGTCATCTTGTCAGATTTGCCAAGATGATCAGTAAACCTATGATCAGTCACTTGAAGAAGATTACCAAATTCTTGGAATATTTTCAACCAGTCTGTTCGGTTTATAGATTTACATTTATTATTATTATTATTATTATTATTATTATTATTACATTTCTATGCCGCCCCTTGCCGAAGCCTCGGGGCGGCTTACAACATGATAAAATACATTGAAATACAATAGAACATAATAAATTACCATTAAATACAAAAATACAAAAAATACACTGAGTTACAAACATAATAATATAAAATTAAAATTATCAGTATAAAATAAGTAAATAAATAATATAGGAGGAGAAAAGAGAAGGAAGAAGAAGTTGCCCTGGCCAGATCATATATTTTAACAATTAAAATGATGTTTAAATAAAAAGGTCTTTACCTGGCGCCGAAAAACTAGTAACGACGGTGCCAGGCGGACCTCTTTGGGGAGTGAATTCCATAGGTTGGGTGCCACCACAGAGAAAGCCCTCCTCCGAGTACTTACTCTCCTAATTTCTTTCATGGAGGGTTCCCGGAGAAGGGACTCTCTCGCAGATCTCAAAGGGCGGTCGGGCATATACGGACGTAAGCGCTTGTTCAGGTAGCCATGACCCAAGCCGTTTAGGGCTTTATAGGTCAATCCCTAAAGATTTCCAGGTTTTTATACTAAAATGGAAGTACACAATATTCAATTATCTAAAGAAACCTGATGGTGTTAGACCAGAAGGAAAGCCATCTTGCATTAACTCAAGCTCTGCAAACCCAGACAAATGGAAGCTCTCTTTCTGTCTTGAGTGATGTGTCTCTTGATCAGTAAGGCTACTGTTCAAAGTCAGAATTTGTGATTGTTTGCAGCATACTGTCCTTAGGAGAGCTGGAATCTAGCAGTCTCTATAAGGGAACAGTTTTCTCATCTTTAATCCATATAATCTCCTATAATTCCTCACTTCTGGTGGGTCATTGTGCTGTTTCTGGAAACTGCTGAAAACACCTCTGTTTCAGAAAGTCTTTTTTGGTTAAGCAGGACCCCCTTCTTTTCTCAATCAATATTCTGTTTTAATACAGAGTTATATTATTTCTATGTTTTTATAGCTCACCACTCTGGAATATATTTAGATGTGAAGTGGTATATAAGCATGTTAGATAAATACAAATATATATATATATATATATTTCCATGCTAGCTGTTTTGTCCTACTATACGATGGGAAGATAGAATGCTGAGAACTTACTTTTGCATAGATAGGTACACCCC